AGGGGTTTTTCCCCCCCCCCCCCCCCCCCCCCCCCCACCTGAAAAGGAAAATAGTTGGTTAATATTTATTATCTGGTTTCATTCCGTCAGTATAAATCAAATACAAAGGTGGATGTAAAACTCCTTTATTAAACCTGTAGTCATATCAATTGCTATACGTTTTTCAATATTGCAGTAAAGTGCATATCGAAATGACGTAAAACTTCTTTTTGCTTGTTTACTTATTCAGATGAGGTTTGAAACCAAAAAAATGATGTCTGGTGTACTATTAACTAATTACACAAAGGAAAAAATAACTGGGTCGTTTCGTGTTGGAATAGACATTTTACACATTTCGTAAGACATACAGAAATTTCATAACCCTGTGTTAGATGACCTGGGTTATATTTTTTCTGAACTGTTCACTTTCACGATAGACCTACAGGATGACATTTGGGCCGTACGGGTTGAACATGTATAGGGGAATAAGGTGGGGGTAGGCGTAGCTAGTTTGGTTTGAAAGTTGGGGAGTAAATACGATAGCAAATGAAATTATGAAAATGTAGTTAATCATCTCACATTCAGCACTCTTTTGATTGCATTCTGTGGCGAGCGATGATTATCAAGTGAAAAGTCGTATGCTTCGAATGCCTGTGATTTTTGTTTTATGAATGCAATATTGATAATATAAAATGATTTCCATGAATTTCAGATTTCCAAATGTATGTTTACATTTCATAAAACGACAACTAAAAAATAAAACAATCAAAATCAAGGATTCAAAAAAAAAATGTAAAACTTTGTCAACTGTTAGAAAAAAAAAACAAGAGCATTCAGAACACTATGAAGCGTTCAGACCTTGAGACTTGACGCGTAGGGCAAAAATATGTGATCTGAAGGGCGAGGAGACGAGAAAATTCTGGTTTTAGCCACTTTCTAGAAGTAAAGTAGGTCAGAGCAATCTAATAAGGTGAGTAGAGCAAAGTCTGTACGAGTGTAGATAAATATATTTGGTCAAGAGGTCAATAGTGTCCACTGACCAACAATCTGGTACGAGGTGTTGTCGCAACTGAACATATTTGGTCTCCAACGGTGGCCATATTGAATAGAATAGACCTGTGATTGGTTGATTTCAGAATAAACAAGATGGCGTCAATTTGAAAAAGGCAGAAGTGAATGTGGTTCTATTGGTAGTTGACTTTAGAGATAACAGAATGACCAACGCGATGGTCAAGAAAACAACACATTTTCACCTCTAACACGCCCCTTTTGACCTTGTTTAACCCCATTTACCTGATATATTTACAGAGCACCTGTATATTAATGGGGGTCGGAGGGGGTTTCATGTTTGCTCATCTCATTCACAATATTTAATGTACATGTATTTAAACACAAATCACATGTTGACCTATATAATGATATTAAGGTGACCCGTGTTGGGTTTCTTCAAGTCAACAGATTTATTAACTCAAATATTGTATGTACCAGTAGCTCAACAATAGGAGTGAGGGCCCGTGGGCCTAAGTGGATTGGGGCACCTCCCCCGGGAATTTTTTTTACCCATGGGCCTAAGTGGATTGGGGCACCTCCCACGGGAATTTTTTTTAAACATATGCTCTCCAGTACCTTTTCTGGAGGTGGGCCCCCTTAGAAGTAGGAACCCGCGGACTTGGTTCCTCCAATCAACAGATTTATCAACACTAATATCAAATGTACAACTAATTGATATGAAGATATACATGTAAACACAATCTCAAATAAACATCAAATCAATTTAAAAATTAACAATTAAAGGGACAGGTTCGTCATCCGTTTGATCAATCTTACCTTAGTCTCAGAAATGGGAATTTTTTAGTCAAGCTTATCACTAGGCCGTGCTCACAGCTAACCGTCGAAATTTGAGTCTTCCAATCGATGAGTGTCAAGAATTATTCGAGTTTGAAAGTTAGGCCATATATAGAAAAGACATAGAAATAGAAAGTGAAATTCTAGTTTGAAGTATTATTAAAGGAATTATGTGGATTTTTTTTTAAATTTCTGGTACTTCTGAAGACTATTAACATATATTCAAGACCCAAATCAACCCCCGAAAATTGCGAATCTGCCCCTTTAACATGAACATGAATATACTTCTAATAGTGAAATAAAAGCAATACATTAACTCCTAACCATTAATCAAATTAAAGTCAGATGTAACTGGCAAAAATGAATAAAAATCAACAACAATGCATATAATATGATT